TACATTGCCAAAACCATTATGTCCATTACACAGGGTAATGTCTGATCAGTGTAGTCATGTGGTGGGCTATATATTACATAAATAAGTACACAAGATTTAAATCATAACACAAACAGTTAGCATGTGTTCCTTTTATTACTTGTATAGGTGAAGAGTAAAAGATATCAAATACATTGCATACACTAAAACAGTTTTGTCACATAACTAAAACATTTGCATTCAATTTTGGCCCAACATGTTGAGAAAGGCAATACCCTTATGTTACTGGCATAGGAATCGAAGTACACTATTCAATATAGAAATTATTATTTTAATTTCTACTTCAATGGCACACAGAATTATACCAATTGTGTATCAAGAGTTCAATTTAGCTCAATAAAGAAAAGTAAAATGAACACCTATTAACTTCACATGTGCATAGATGCTCACTTGGGCCATTGATGAGGTTTACTTTATTCCAACCAGTAATTGTTACTTCCTTAGATCACTGTATTCTTATTCTATCTTGGGGTCAAAACTGAAATATTTGGCTTTCAATATATTTACTGCAATTCCAGTTTGTGATTGAAAAACAGAAACTGAACATTGTTTAGGAAATCTGTTTTGTCTAGTATTTGTAGAGTTTTCCAGGTTCATATAAATCAATATTTATAATGCACTTCTTAAATAAAATGTTTTTAAGATATCTTCTGAGGTTTCAACTATAATAACAACACTGTTACTTCCAGTATGAAATTGTTGTCATGGAAACTGAAAATTTTAGCCATGATCATTTGGAGGTACAATGTAAATTTTAAATTTACTAGTATAATTATCAAACTGCTATATCCATTCCATATGAATTATCAACTGCAGATAAGGCAAGAATTTGATAACAATTTATCAAAAAATCATTTTGACATAATTTATGATACCATTAAGATATAACAATGCAGATTGTGGATGTCAAGTGCCAAATACAAATATGGCTTGTGTTCCTATGACCTTGGCTAAAAATTGCATTTCACTATAAATTAACTGTATTTTAGCTCAATTTATGCTGTGTTGCATATACTAAATAATTGGTATAATTAAACTATATGAATAGTCTAGAACAAAACAGTATATTCACTGTATCATACTAGTATTTCAATATTGCAGAAAAAAGGAAATCTTTTCTTATAATGCAATGATAGTTAAGAATAGATATATTTGATATCTGTCAATGAGCACTATATATCATGGGTGGCCAAATACCCTAATAGCAGACAAACATAACCTACAACTAA